TTATTTTCTTTTCCACTCACCTTCCGTCTGTGCTCTCGTCATTATTTTCAAACTCTTGGTCATCACTATTAACTGGACTTTCAGAACTACCAGGTGGCTGATGTGCAACAAACTGATCTAAATACCTTTGCATAATATTTATAGGATAATTGTGGTCATTGCTTATTCTTAAATTGTGCATCCTTGCAGCCATTCTTTCCTCTGACAAAAATTGTTTAGTGGATGGACCACCCTGGCTAAAAGAGAAAAAAAGAAAGAGTCATGTTAGACTACCGCAAGTACTATACTGACTTTTAAACCACATGAAAAAAAGACCTCTATATAGCATAATGGCTAATGAGTTAAAGCAGATAACTATAAAACAAATGTTTCAAGTAACAATGTTTTGAGAATCCCAGCTAGCTGAAGGCAAATCAGTTGGCTATTCACAAGCTTTGCCAGGGAGAAATTTAGCAGGTAGTTTGAGCAGGACTAGAGTATGGGACCCCTAGATTACAAGACATTTCTATAGTGCTCCAACCCGTCAGGTAAGCTGCCTTGAGATTTGTCTTTAGTTCTGGAAATGACTAACAGTTGATTGTTTGATGCCTGTTATTGTATTTCAATAATTCTAGCCTAACAAAGCAGTATTTGGTCTCAGAAGATGTTACAATAATATTATGATGACAGCAATGAATTTCCAGTAGAGTCAATATGCACATTTTCTCCTTTTCAGTATGATATATCATGATGCTAGGGTTATAACATTTTATAATCTTACTGGTTATGCATTGGATTACAAAGGATCTTGGATGATCTTTTGACTATCAAGAAACGTTTACTCCAAGATGAAGGACTTTTGGTTTTTCTAGTATGTAGTTTGGCTTACCCTTCCTCCCTATCAGTGGTACTACTTTTCCGTTTTGCTCTACTGGCCAAGGTACTATCATGGCTGCTTTAAACAAACAAACAAACAAACAAATAATACAAAAAATAAACACACTGACACTATATAAGCACTTGATGTAAGATACCCTCTAGGATTATTCACGTGGTATTAACATGCATCTGGGTACAGAAAAAGTCCCATCAGTTTTCTGGTAAAACTCGATGGGACTGCTGTAAACTTGCTCATCTTTGCTTTTTGCTCGTGAAGAAATTTTTGTTGCTTACAGCAATCTTTTACGCGAAAGATCACCTCTGTCTAGTATTGTGTTATCCTTCACAGAGTGCAAAGAAAGTCTGTTTTACAGCTTGCCATTTGGACAAGTTGAAGCTAGTATTTACTAGCCCAAACGTCATTTCAACTAGTCCCAAACACGTTTTGATGGTCAGAATTGATCTCACAATTCCTTCCTCAAAAAACTTCTCTGGCCCATCGGGCAAGTTAAGAACAAAATTTACTAGCCAGAACGCAAAATCCACTAGCCCCAGGCTATCGGACACGACTTTCTTTGCACACTGCTTCATAACTTCTCCTGCCAGTGTAAATTTTATCCTTCTGCAAGGCATTTGTTACGCTTACAATGAACTTGCATGATCACACAATTAACCGTTTTACAGATAGACAAACTGATAGCCAAATGTAGTTGTACCCTCCCCCTGTTTTTTCCTTATTTGCAGAGAGGGAATTTCTTCACGCAGGCTAACAGACTGGCCAATGGCATTGAGATGGTGTGGCTGGCATAAATTTTATTTTGCTAATTTTTTATCTTCACACAATTCCTTCTCTACTATCTTTACACCTGAAACAAGCTTACTTCATCCTCAACTTTGCCAGGTACACTGCAAACAAATTTAAAGACCAGCTCCCAGTTGGCTTGGTAGCGCAACTGGTTAGAGTGCTGCACTGGTATCGCAGAGGTCTGGGTTCGAATCCCGGCAAGCCTGAATTTTTTCAGGCTTTCTTTTCACAACCAGTGTTCTTACCAGACTACGGCATTGTGGCTTTGCCGCACTTTTTTGGGAAATGCTCCACTGTAATTAGCCCAAAGGGTCCCAAGGGCGCAAACAAGGAAGAAAGACATATTACAAAACGCACGTAAACATATGTACACATATTCCCTACA